AGAATAAACACTTATTATATGATAATTAAATTTTTAGAAAGAGAGAGATAGTGTGTATGAGTATAAACAAGAGAGATCTCTCAATATTCTTTCCATATCTCTACATTATTTCTATATCTTAATTAGAAAGGAGGAGAGAGAATATGAATGCGCACAAGAGCGAGATCTCTACATTGTGAGATAATTCGAAAATGAGAGAGAGAGCATGCATAAGAGAGAATATAAATTTTCATGGAAGCTTTTGAAGAGTAGAGAAAGAAAAACTCCCTTAAAACAGGATTTTAGGAAACCAAAGTCTTAGCATAATTTATTTTCATAAAAATCATAAGTAGTTAAAAAATTATTATTATCTAAGAGGTGATTTGTGATTTATCAAAAAAATTATTAATAAATTTATTTGATAATTGAATATTTAATTAATCTACTACAAGTAATTATATACATGCAACGCACGTAATCCAACCATATTATTAAGCTAGGATTATGTGGTGGACACGTGTTGTGAAAATACGAAGGGCCCATAAATTTGTAGAGATTGTAGGACACATTCTTAAGACTGTAGGACACATTCATAACTTTAGAGAAGAGAGATAGATTAACCAAAATTTGAAAGAGGTATAGAGTATGAGTATGCATAAAAGAGAGATCTCAATATTGTTTCCATATCTCCACATTATTTATATATCTTAATTTGAGAGAGAGGGAGAGAGGATATGAGCGCGTACATGAGTGACATCTCAACATTGTGAGAAAGTTTGAGGAGAGAGAGAACCTGCACAAGAGATAGAGAATGAGAGATTTTAGAAGAGATTGAGAGATTTTGATGGAAGCTTTTAAAGAGTAGAGAAAAAAATTATATCTTAAAAGAGGATTTTATGAAACCAAAGGTTTAGTATAATTTATTTTCATAAAATGATAAATAATTAAAAAATTATTATTATCTAAGAGGTGTTTTGTGATTTATCAAATTTTTTATTAATAAATTTATGTGATAATATTTAGTTAATATGCTACAAGTAATTCAACTAGTTTTCAAATTAAACCAAACCATCTCTCATGGTATTTTTATGAAGCCAAAAGATTTTATACTCCCTAAGTGCGTTATCCATTTATTCCCTCATATAAAAGTCAATAGAAGAGTCATTTTAGGACTCTAAATTATTGGGATGTAATATTTCTCCCACAAACTAACATCATAAAAAAAAAAAAGAAAAATCTAATTGAAATCTCTCTATATACCAGAGAAAAGATGTTTCAAGATTAAATAAAGATCGTCCAATTTTTGAAGGATGAGATTTAAGTGTAAAAAAAAACTCAAAATTCAATTTTTTTATTTTAAAAATAATCATCTGGCGATTGAATTCCCAAAATTTCATACTGGAAAAGTCATTCCGAAGTAGATGTTTTGAGTGAGGGAGTAACACTATGCTCCCGCGGTAGTATAGTATATGAGCTCTTCTATCAATTGTCTTAATTTTCGAATACTTAGACGCCAAAACGCAAATTTATGTCGCTTAGCATAAAAATATAAAGTCTCAAGTCTCAACTCAACTATTCGTCGCCCGGTTTTTGCAGCTTTAATACTCGTGAAAAAGCAACAATCTCATAATACCGGCAAAAAATCACCTGAACGTACATCGCCTCTCCGGGAATTTCAGCTGAAACCACCGGGAAATCGTCATTTTCCGGCATATTTATTTATTTATCACCATTAACGCTTGCATAATGGTCCCTTTAATCCAGATTAGAAAAGGACCCCACCTATACACGTGTCAATACAGTAACCAGATAGCCCTTGATTTTTGGAAGCTCTTGTAGAAAACCGGAGCGCCATAGATATTTTGAAGCTCTTGAAAATGGCGTGGAATCACTCAGAAATCGATTCCTTATTCATTACTCAGTTGAAGCAAGAGAACCAAGGAATGGGTTTTTTGTGATTACACAGTGAAATTACTTGGAAAATGCACATTTAATTTTGTATGTGTTGAGGATTTTGTTATTACACAGTGAAATTACTAGAAAAATGGCCGTTTAATTTTGTAATTATTGAGCAGGACACAGAAAACAATGGCGGTTAGTCCACGGCAGTCCTTCGGTTGCTTCCTTGTTTCAGGTGTGCTTTATTCATCTCAATTGCGATACCTTAGTCTCTCTATCTCTATCTTTTGGTTTAGGACTTTGATTGAGCTTTTTATATGCAGTGGGTCGTCTGCTGAATTACTCTCTCTCGCTCTCTTATCTTTTTTAATTTGTTTATTTTGTGATAGCAGTTTCTTTTTCTTTGACCTTTTTTCCCGTAATTGTGTTACTGTGATGGTTTTTTTTTGCTAAATATTATTGTTTTCATTACTGTAGTTCGGGGTCTTAGTGGAGAAGTAGGCTTACACACTGTAAAATTTCTCTCTCTCTCTCTCTCTCTCTCTCTCTCTATATATATA